TTTTTTTTTTTTTTTTTTGGCGGCTGGCCGCTAAAGGGATCCAAATCCTTGACCTTGGTGTTATCAGCACTATGTTCTAACCAAGTGAGCTAACTGGCCAGCCCTAATTTTAATTTTTACTTTTAATTGTTTTCATCCAAGTAATACCTGTTCATTGTAACAAAACTAGAAAATGTATATTAGCAAAAATAAATAAAACTGAAAGCCTCATAATTCCACCATGAATATATACCATGTATATACAACCTGAAAGAGAGTTTCCTTCAAGTCTCATAAATGTATTTATAAGCAAAGTAGAATTATACAATACATATGGTTTTTTAAAACATGCTTTTTTTACACTTAACTACATATTTTGAATGGTTTTCCATGTCAAGAATTATATTTTTATGGCTAATATTCCATTGGATGGATGTGTCATAAAAATTTAACAAACCCCCTATCTTTGGAAGTCTGTGTTATTTCCATTATTGTGCAATGATAAATAACATTTATGCATGCATTTTTGCTTACTTGCTTACTTTTACTTGGCACAAATTCTTAGAAATTAAATGCTATTTCAAAGAGAAAGCTCCATTTGAAGCTTTTGGTGTCTACCCTAAGGGTGCCCTACAGTAAGCCTTACATGCCCTCAATAGAGTAAAAGAGCCTAATTTCCACATGCCTGCCGGCACTAAATATTAACATTCTTTTAAATTTTTGCCAAATTAAAAGGTAGCCATTACTTTGCATTTTTTAATTATTCATGAGGTTAAATAATTTATCCTATGATTATTGGATAAACGATTCTTATTTAGTAAATTTCCACTTATTGTTCTTTTTCTATTGTCAATTCTTCTAATGTATTAGAAAAGGTTCTTTACATATTTTCTATTTCTCCTTAAAACAGTCATTTGTTTGCTTCATCAAGATGTTCTCAAGTATTTAACATATCTTTGTACATCCAATCATTTTTAATGTATGTCTGGCTTATTTTAGGTTTATATCTTATCACAAGGTTAAATTAACCCTGTAATATTATTTATAACTGATATGCTTGGTTTTACTTCTGTCACCTTAGTTTATGCTGTTTTGTTTTTAAATTTATTGCTGTTTCTTTACTTTTGCTGTTTTTAATTGTTTATATTTTTTTCTCTTTTTCTTCCCTCCACTGATTTGAAAGTCATGCATTCTTTTCTCTATTCATAGTTATGTGTATTTTTTAATGTACAAATTCAAACCTATATTTTTCTTTCGATTTTATCATACTGGTGTATATGAAAAGGAATGAGAAATTCACCTCTCTTCTTTCCACCTGTCTCCCAGTTTCTCTCATATTTTAAACCTTTCCAGATTATCTTCTTCCTTTGATCATGCATTTTCTTTATAAGAGGCTTTATTTGATATTTGTTTTCATTTTCACAATTATGTTAGCAACATATTTAACAATTTACTGTACATTCCAGAAGTTTCTTAATCTCAAGCAATTTAGTACGTATCATTTTTCCTATCCTTGAGTTCTTTATTTTGATTTTTTTCTCAATCAGTGAAATATGTCCGTATTTCCTATAGCTATGTATCCTCAAATGTTTTTCTTTTCCTTCATGCTTACCAATATCTTGCCCAGATTAGAATTTGGGGTTCATAATATATTTTCCCACATAGGTGTATATCTTATTCCATTCTTTTTCTGGGCATTTGTTTTTACATGGGAGAAATGAAGGATTAGTTTGGTTTTCCCATTTGTAAGTATCTTAGTTTTCTTTCCTATAAGCTTGTAATATTTTTCCTCTATCCTGGGTATGACTTTTTATTAATTTTGCCTAGAACTGCATGAGTATTTTTATGCTAAATCTTCAAATAAGGAATATGTTCTTGTATTATTATAAGCATTACTTCTCCTAGATCTACTCAGTTCTCTTGTTCTAGAATTAAATGGCTTCTTTTTACTGACCACAATGACAATTTTAATTTTGCAGTGACAATTTAAATTTTTTTTTTCTATCTCAATCATTTTCTCCTACAGCTGCTGACTTCTTTTCAAAGGAGATCATGTTGTCTTGCACCTTCCTGAGGATCCCGATCAAATATTTATTGAAATCTTTACAGAAAGAAATATTTGATGATAATAATAATTCAATAATAATTCAATATTCACAAATACAGCCCTTTAAAGAAATGTTCACTTTCTTTAGGTTGAATTGTTTTTTATAAGTCAAATATCATCATTACTAATTTTTAAATGTTTCTCTCATTCTTAAATAATCATAAATCTATTCAGATCTAGAATTTCCTACTATATATCATAGAGAAATGGTATCTTTTGTTTTAAAATATAATCAAGAATTTTAGGAGCATGATTTTTTTTCTAATAATTACCTATATTATGGAATTTTATCTCTCAATGTGATTTTTTACATTTTTATTATATTAAAGTGGTTGAGCTTTAGCTATAGCATGCGTGAGATCTGGGTTTGAGACACAGTGCCTGCAGTGGTAAAAAACATGGCTTCTGGATCCAAATTGTCTGGGTTCGAATCCCAGCTCTGCCACTTACTCACTGTGTAACTTTAGCAAGTTATTTAAACTCTCAGATCCTTAGTTTTCTCATCTATAAAATGGAATTAATAATATTAGTTACATCATAGGGTTTTAAGGAGATTTAAAAGATAATATTTATAAAATACATAGAACACTTCCTGAGACATAGTGAATGCTATATAAATACTTGCCTAAAAATTCTAGCCCTGTCACCCCCTTGCTGAGTAACGTTAATCATTAATTCTCTCTAAACTTCCATCTCCTCATCTTTAAAATGGATATAATACTTACTAATAAAATTAATGCATATATTACTGACAACATTAATGACTTTTAATACTACTTATTAACGCTGTGTGGATTAAAAGAGATAATTTATATAAAATATCACCATGTAAGTGCACACTACTTGGTTGCTAGTGTTTTTTAATAATCAAATGCATCCTGGGACTATGCGACATTTAATTAGCTTAACTGAGTACTTCAAAGCCCCTTTATTCTACAATTTCTCTATTATTAAATTTTTCAATTTTGAGTTGTTTTACAGATGCTTAACTCCAGAGGGATTGAGTTACAGATTCAAAGCCACATTGTCAGTGCAAAGGAAGGATTTGAAGCAAGGTCAATTAGATTCCGCTTTTAATCTTTTTTTTTTCCCCCATGAGCCTGGGAAAGCAGTGTCTTTAATTCTTTTTTCTTCAAAGCATCTATTTCCCATCAGTTGGATTATTTCCCTCAAGACCTTCACTTTCTCCTCATCATTTATCAAGTGCCTTGAACAGAAGCAATGGGCTTTTTGCATATCTACAGTTATTCTCCTCTGCAGGCAGAGGGGCTGGGGTCTCCGTGGTGGACAGGGAGGTCCACAGGATGGGGAATAAGAGAGGGATACTATTTTTATCAAGGTTTTTTTTATCTGTTGAGGGTCATTGATTACCTTAATATATGTTGCTATTTTGAGTTTATCCAAAAATCAGCCCAGACATACGCTGTGCTGTGTTGTAATTGAAACTAATTGAGATACATAAGAGGCCGCTTTATTACCTGTTAATAACAAAAGACATAACTATTTTTTAAAAAAAAATAATGTTGGTTTCTCTCCTCAGTTGAATTATATTGTATTTCTATGAAAAGCTATTGTAAAAAAAAATAATGTTGGTTTCTCTCCTCAGTTGAATTATATTGTATTTCTATGAAAAGCTATTGTTTGGTTCTCTTCCTCTACTTAATTTCAAACATTTTATTAACTATCAATTGAGATACCACATAAAATGGACTTCTCTGGCTTCTTGTTTGCCCACAGCTTGCCCATCAGGGACATACAAACCTGAAGGCTCACCAGGAGGAATCAGCACTTGCATTCCATGTCCTGATGAAAATCACACCTCTCCACCTGGAAGTACGTCCCCTGAAGACTGTGTCTGCAAAGAGGGATACCGGGTATCCGGTCAGACCTGTGAAGGTAAGTGTCCCGCCACTGGCAAATAGGAAACATACAGACTGATCTCCTTGAGAGAAATAGTGCTGACATTTGCATCTCACTCATTTAGAATGATCTTTAAGATGTCTTTCTTTAATCATATTTGGAAAGGATTATTTGCTTTTATTATATAACATTTCATATCACTGAACACATCTATATCATGATCCAGAGAAAGGTATCTGAGACCCTAGGAATCATGTAACTGTGAAAATAGAAAGATTTAGTGCTTGGAAAAGAATCTAAAATGAATCAAAAAGAGAAAAGCTACAATTTTAACAATAAATTTGAATAATAATGAGCTAATCTTGGCCCTGGTGATAAGCAAAATCATTTAAAAATATATTTTCCTAAGTAAAGTGTCTCCATATTATTCATATCAGAAACCAAAAATATTTAAATAGCTACCCCATGTTCAAGAGTCTGTGGCTCTTGGGGTTTGTAGCGAGTACACTTTGTTAGCCTTATTTATTCTTTATATTGTGCCACTTACTTAAGAGGGAAAATATCTAATTATATATGAAGGTTAAGAACTAGAAAATCCTGTATCCACATAGTTATCAAAATAAAAAAAAAATTAAGCTTAAAAAATACTTAGTCTGGGCCGTCCCGGTGGCGCACTGGATAGTGCGCCGCTTGGGAAGCGCGGCGGCGCTCCCGTCGAGGGTTCGGATCCCACATACAGACCGGT